ATTTCCGACCCGGACAATTTTAGGGGTCTACATCGGTCATGCCAGGTGTGATCCATACAAAGACCAACATGGTCCTCTAAAGGTATCGTGTCGAGTGTGGGATATGTGTCACTGGGTGTCATTCTGCTTGTGGTTCTTCTATTGTTCTTTTGTTTAATCCAATGATTATAACTCTTGTAATGTGATGTTGAGTTGGATATGAATTGATCTTTGTTGATGAATATATAAAAGTGTATAATGAGTATGGAATAAGAGGAATATGTGAAATGTGAGATTATGGAATCATGTGAATGTAATGCTTAGAGTTTGTTTGTCATGCATCATATGCATAAAATATTTTGTAAGGGTACAATATGGAATATAGGGTTAGGGATTGTCCCTTGTGTAAAAGCTTGGGAACCAACCTTGGGGATAACTTGGTTATGAAGTCTTAGTCCTTCTCTTGTGAGCATGAAATGTATCTTGTGTGGCGTAGCTATCTCGATCAGACCCTAGTAGTATGTCCTTCTAGTGAGAGTGTGTAAACGGCGTGACCTGGTCTGTACTCCTAAACTACTCTAGTGTGTTGTTAGCGACAATGTGCAAGTGTGATATTTTTACTAGCGCTACATGGATGATAATATGTAATCCGTGTCCATTGCATATGCATTATAATCATATATGTTGTTGTTTATTATGTTATGGATGAGCTAAGTACGATGATGATGTATAATATATCTTATTGTATATGTTATTTGTGTTTGGCTAGCCAATTTGCATTCCTGTACTGTGAGCCAAAGTGAGATGTTTCTCATTCCCTTTTCTTTTGTATTGTTTTCTGGTTATTGTTGCAGGTGATCATCAACATGGTGTTGAGAATGTTAGTGATGAGGCCTAGTTCTTAATGTTGGGTTTTGCTCTAGTAGAACACATGACACCAAGGATTAGTTATGATTTAATTTATGTTATTTAAATTGAGTAGTTGATTTTATTTCCTTTGTAATTTGTTGTTTTCGCTAAGTCTAGTTTATGTTAAAATGTGAGTATTTCTACTTGTATAGATTTTGAGTTTGTTTATTATATTGAGGTTATTCAGTTTTATATTATATTATGTTTTATGACATGCAGGGTAGAGGGTGTCACATTGAGTATGATTAACTAGATCGTGTGATGTGACAATTTGGCATGGTTTAGCACATTCTTTATGCTTTACTTCACCCCAATCAGTTGCACAACCATGTGATGTGACAATTTGTTACTACTAAGTTTGTCCCGTAGGCCAAAACCAACCTCCATTTTGGAACATGATACCACATTACACATACATCAATTGGTCTCACCCTGATCAAGAGACATGATTTATTGGTTTAGATTTCCTTGATTCATGCCATGTGGGGGACGAATTATGTGTCGAGTTGCGATTTGACACCAAGGCTGATGTGCAAATGGCTATAAAACATTATTTAATGAATGTGCATCACACTTTTTTTTATTGATTTTGGTTTGAAGGTTTTGTCCCTAAAGTGTCCAAATAGCAATGAAGGTTGTCCTTGGAAGATGAGAGCAATAATGTCAACTAAAATCAATAATAAATGGGTCATCAAGAAATAAGGTGGTCGACACACATGCATTAATGTGATGTTATCTCAAAACCATAACAAATTTGTTTTTTGGGTAAGTATTATTATTTTATTCATTATATCATAAGTGTAATCACATGTTATTTATATAAAGCATAATTAACTATCCCATTTTAGGTGTGGTCAAAGAAGATACTTCAGTCGCAATTTTGTTAATACAAGAAAGAATTAGTGACCATTTTAATTACAAGGCAAAGCTAAAAGAAATATCAAGGGTTTTTAGTGATTGAGATGATTCATATGATCTAGTGCCAAGAGGGATGGATAAGATGCTTGGAGTTTGTCGAGGATCAACGTACACACTTGAGATAATTGATTATGTCTTAAACGGTGTATTTGATGAAAAATTTTGCCAATTTTGATGTGTTTTCTGGACATTTAAATCAGCATATGATGCATTTAACCATACTAAACTCATTATACAAGTTGATGGCATGTTTCTCTATGGAAAATATTAAGGCATTATTTTGATTACCACGACCCAGGATGACAATTCTCGTGTGTTTTCAATAACATTTGTGATAGTTGAGGGAGAGATGTTAAACGTTTGGTCATGATTTTTGGCAAAGATTCGTTAATGTGTGTCGCCACCGGCCCGAAACGGGCTTTCGGCATTTGTCATTCTGCTTGTGGTTCTTCTATTGTTCTTTTGTTTAATCCAATGATTATAACTCTTGTAATGTGATGTTGAGTTGGATATGAATTGATCTTTGTTGATGAATATATAAAAGTGTATAATGAGTATGGAATAAGAGGAATATGTGAAATGTGAGATTATGGAATCATGTGAATGTAATGCTTAGAGTTTGTTTGTCATGCATCATATGCATAAAATATTTTGTAAGGGTACAATATGGAATATAGGGTTAGGGATTGTCCCTTGTGTAAAAGCTTGGGAACCAACCTTGGGGATAACTTGGTTATGAAGTCTTAGTCCTTCTCTTGTGAGCATGAAATGTATCTTGTGTGGCGTAGCTATCTCGATCAGACCCTAGTAGTATGTCCTTCTAGTGAGAGTGTGTAAACGGCGTGACCTGGTCTGTACTCCTAAACTACTCTAGTGTGTTGTTAGCGACAATGTGCAAGTGTGATATTTTTACTAGCGCTACATGGATGATAATATGTAATCCGTGTCCATTGCATATGCATTATAATCATATATGTTGTTGTTTATTATGTTATGGATGAGCTAAGTACGATGATGATGTATAATATATCTTATTGTATATGTTATTTGTGTTTGGCTAGCCAATTTGCATTCCTGTACTGTGAGCCAAAGTGAGATGTTTCTCATTCCCTTTTCTTTTGTATTGTTTTCTGGTTATTGTTGCAGGTGATCATCAACATGGTGTTGAGAATGTTAGTGATGAGGCCTAGTTCTTAATGTTGGGTTTTGCTCTAGTAGAACACATGACACCAAGGATTAGTTATGATTTAATTTATGTTATTTAAATTGAGTAGTTGATTTTATTTCCTTTGTAATTTGTTGTTTTCGCTAAGTCTAGTTTATGTTAAAATGTGAGTATTTCTACTTGTATAGATTTTGAGTTTGTTTATTATATTGAGGTTATTCAGTTTTATATTATATTATGTTTTATGACATGCAGGGTAGAGGGTGTCACATTGAGTATGATTAACTAGATCGTGTGATGTGACAATTTGGCATGGTTTAGCACATTCTTTATGCTTTACTTCACCCCAATCAGTTGCACAACCATGTGATGTGACAATTTGTTACTACTAAGTTTGTCCCGTAGGCCAAAACCAACCTCCATTTTGGAACATGATACCACATTACACATACATCAATTGGTCTCACCCTGATCAAGAGACATGATTTATTGGTTTAGATTTCCTTGATTCATGCCATGTGGGGGACGAATTATGTGTCGAGTTGCGATTTGACACCAAGGCTGATGTGCAAATGGCTATAAAACATTATTTAATGAATGTGCATCACACTTTTTTTTATTGATTTTGGTTTGAAGGTTTTGTCCCTAAAGTGTCCAAATAGCAATGAAGGTTGTCCTTGGAAGATGAGAGCAATAATGTCAACTAAAATCAATAATAAATGGGTCATCAAGAAATAAGGTGGTCGACACACATGCATTAATGTGATGTTATCTCAAAACCATAACAAATTTGTTTTTTGGGTAAGTATTATTATTTTATTCATTATATCATAAGTGTAATCACATGTTATTTATATAAAGCATAATTAACTATCCCATTTTAGGTGTGGTCAAAGAAGATACTTCAGTCGCAATTTTGTTAATACAAGAAAGAATTAGTGACCATTTTAATTACAAGGCAAAGCTAAAAGAAATATCAAGGGTTTTTAGTGATTGAGATGATTCATATGATCTAGTGCCAAGAGGGATGGATAAGATGCTTGGAGTTTGTCGAGGATCAACGTACACACTTGAGATAATTGATTATGTCTTAAACGGTGTATTTGATGAAAAATTTTGCCAATTTTGATGTGTTTTCTGGACATTTAAATCAGCATATGATGCATTTAACCATACTAAACTCATTATACAAGTTGATGGCATGTTTCTCTATGGAAAATATTAAGGCATTATTTTGATTACCACGACCCAGGATGACAATTCTCGTGTGTTTTCAATAACATTTGTGATAGTTGAGGGAGAGATGTTAAACGTTTGGTCATGATTTTTGGCAAAGATTCGTTAATGTGTGTCGCCACCGGCCCGAAACGGGCTTTCGGCATTCGCGAAGGATGGTTGGACTCTTTTATTTGTTTAAAAATATGGATTGCTAGAATGACTTATTCTCAAACTGAGACCTTGTCAAACGAGCAATTTTATTAAAAGGCTCACTAATCCATGTTAATCCCAAGCGGGACCCTCCATGGATTAGCGGTTTTCATAAAAAGGAAGGGTTCATGGAGTCGCCACCAATGTTTTACTCAAAACATTGGAAAAAGAA